AAGCCGTTTAGGTGGGGTTCGCTCGTGAGCAGTAGACGGGAAGCCACGATAACTGGATGATATCGAATTTTGCTCGGGGTCATTATGGGGATATTCCGTGACACATTAAATGCAATGTGTTCTCGAACAATTAGCCACCAAACGGCTTTGTATTTAATATTCCACTAATGTATTTTTGATAACACTAAATACCTGTACTTATGTGGAGAAATTATAAATCGCCGGGCGAGCTCGACGAGAGGTTCAGATTTTGCTTGGGACCTTTCTGTCAGGCGTTGACACCGTGTGACCCTTGAACGATAAACTTTAAATATATATTTTCTATAGAAATATGTAGCACAAATATTGGTTTTTAATTACTATTCACTAATGTGTTTTTGATAACGTTAATTATTTGTAATTATGCTAGGGAATTTCGGTAGTAAAATCCAACATGAGTTTTAAATATTTTCTACACAAATATGCAGCACAAATATTGGTCTTTTTCATTGAATGACATCAATTGACCTGGAAGTCATTAGCATTAATTTTGGGGCCTTCCGCGCAGACCGCAGCCATCTTGTTGTTAGCGACCTGCTGCTACGTGCCACACCCCGCCCGCCGCACGCCGCCCGCCGCCCGCCGCCATGCAGACCCGCCTCCTCCCAACAGCGACATCTATAAAATCCTGGCGGCAGAATTCCGAACTAACCCTCTGGTCATTGACCAACTATTCAGCGACCCGCCCTCCTCTTCAGCGACCCGCCTTCCTCCACGCAGACCGCAACCATCTTATCCCTAACGACCAATCACCTTCCACGCAGACCACCGCCATCTTGTTCCTAACGACCAATCACCTTCCACGTAGACCGCCGCCGACCACACCCATCTTATCCCTAACGACCAATCACCTTCCACTCAGACCGCCGCCATCTTGTGACGTCACATCCGCTGCAGACCGCACCCATCTTATCCCTAACGACCAATCACCTTCCACGCAGACCGCCGCCATCTTATCCCTAACGACCAATCACCTTCCACGCAGACCGCCGCCATCTTATCCCTAACGACCAATCACCTTCCACGCAGACCGCCGCCATCTTGTGACGTCACATCCGCTGCAGACCGCACCCATCTTATCCCTAACGACCAATCACCTTCCACGCAGACCGCCGCCATCTTGTGACGTCACATCCACTGCAGACCGCAGCCATCTTATCCCTACGCAGACCGCCGCCATCTTGTGACGTCACTTCCGGCGTAGAAACCACCTATTCTATCTACTAGCCTTTCTAGGTAAAACCCCAATGGCTTTATTTAGAATGCCATTTAAACCTAATTACAAATTTTGGACATTTTCATCCCATTCCCTATTGTCGCGTTTACCTCCCATGTCCGCTGATGAATCGGAAATAATGCGATGATACCTCACAACTTACCCATTACCTCTCGGAAGTGTTACCGCATTGAGGTGATGGCGTTTGCTTTTTTCTATAAAAGAGGCAAAATATTTCGATGTAAAAGCGCTTCCTTGATCACTAATAATGCGTGTGACCACCCCAAACGTTTTAAACATGCCCTTAAATGAAATTATAACATTTCGTGTTTGCGTATCAAGACTGGGTATAGTAATATAAATTTTGTAAAGGCGTCAATGATAATGAGGAGATATGCATTACCAGCTTTTGTTTTTATGAATGGGCCCAAATGGTCAATAAGCACGGTATGAAATGGTTTAGATATTTTGGGTATGGGGGTGTATAAACCCCGGATGCTTTCCTGAACTTGACTTAAAAAAATAAACAATTTAAACAATTCTTTACATACGTAATTAGGTAGAAAGCGCCTTATTCGTTGGAACCAGTATTTACTATTAATTAATTCAAAAGTCTTTTCGATACCAAAATGGCCTACATCGTCATGAATCATACGGAATTTGCTATTTGCCACGATTTGATAACCACCAGCGCAACCCATATAAAGTGTTGCGATATACTGGGTGTAACGTAAAGGTTGGGAATAAATTAAACGGTGGATTTTTTGGTTCAAAAAATAAATTTTTCTCATATGAAGTTATGCTCTACGGGTTTTGTTTTCCAAGCTACAGGGCGCCAAAAAGTTTCAAACAATTTAGTTTTTCTCCAATTACTTTCGAACATTATAAGATAATGGAACGAAATATTAGCCTTAGCTTAATTTGATAATCCCCTAGTAACAGGAAAAAGATTGACTTTGTAAGTTACTCAGTGGCGTGCGTACGGATTGTACCGTAAGATTTTTCGAAGAAAATTGTGGTACGCTACTTTTTATTTTAAACTTAATTACCCTTTTGTGTTTTATTCCCAGCTCTTGTAATTTTTCCGTAAATAAAACTTTTGTAAATACCATTTTCCCACTGCTAACAACGGAAAAGAAAAATAACAAAAACTTTATGAAGTATGCTTTGACTCAGCTACCGAACACGGTTATATAGGCTTTGAAAAAAGACTTTTGCATTGAAAACGATATTAAAAAACTAAATTTTTTGAAATTTTTTAGCGCCCTGTAGCTTGGAAAAGAAAACCCGTAGAGCATAACTTTATATGACAAATATTTATTTTTTTAAATAAAAAATCCAGTGTTTAATTTATTCCCAACCTTTACGTTACACCCTGTATTACCTGATTGTAAAATTGTTTTTATTTGTCAACTGTTGTTTCAAAAACTCAAAAGCCTCAGCCCGCTCTTTTTGCCAAGCCTAAGTACCCCTTTCTTACGGAAATATCCCGTGAGACCTTACATGGTGATTGTTTTGGGGAATCGGGATCTGATTTACCGCTTTTAATTTATTATCCGATCGTCAGATCGTCGAATCTTCGAGGTCGAGTCGTTACAGGCTCCGTTGTTGTTAAACGAATCGACATGTTTATATTTTTAGCTGAGCCCACTGCAGACAAATTTGTGGCGAAACAACAACTGTAGTCATTAAGAAGTTTCAAAAGTGCCGCTATCACATTAGCGTCACTAATTCCGATGTCGACCATTGACTGAGTTATCGAGTTGACAGTATGTTTGTCATAACTTAAAGAAAACCAAAAGATTGCCCGTCTTGTAAAAGTGTATATCATTTCATTCAGTAAAATTTTGTCTTTATATCCATGACACATTTTTTTCACAATGTAAAATTGTATTATTTTGTTGATATCATCAATCTCAATTCAAGCGCGAACAACGGCCTGAGGCCTTATATGGGTGTCACCCAACGTAGTCAATATAACAGAAGTCGGCAATGGCGCACGTGGCAACTCTAAGGACGCGGCTAAATTTTCAGTTATAAGAGAGCATTGACTACCAAAATCAATGAAACACCTGACTTTAGTCTTTTCAACCAGAATATTTTTGATTAGAGCAGTTGTCATTCAGTCCACGTAAATAGTCGTGTCGGAAGACCGTTGAACCACATTTCGGCGGTTCCTCGTAATTTAGATAAGGCCAAGTGAGAGGCTGTTTTATCGTCCCACCCATGAATTAATGCAAACTCATTTACGCTATTTACCATTGATCAACATCGTGAAGTAATGGATCAAAAATAGGGGTAATATTAGTATTAATAGAAACGTTACTTACACCAGGGATTTTCTTTTCGACCAACCTGTGTATCCCAGCTACCATGGCTGCACCTATTTGAGAAAAACTCTCAGACAAGGATCTGACAGACGGAACAGAAGAAGTTCTCGTTCTAGACCTACTTCTAGGGCTACCTCGAGAATGTCGCCTTCGTCCATGGTGTAAACCATCATTCCTACGTGAGCGACCCTTCCTCTTTTCTTCACTTTCAGCCTCATCTCGAAAATGTCGTCTTCGTCCGTGGTGAGAATCACCATCCCTTCGTGAGTGATGTTTTCTCCTAGAGTCACCGCCACCAATACTAGGACTACCATCAGCTCGACCCCGGTGATGAGTCACGGCCCCACTTTGGTTACAAGCACTCTCAGCCTCGTCAGACATTGCACTAATAACTTTTTTATATATATTTCTATATAAATATTGTCAACAAAGCTCACAGGTGAATCCCACTTCTGATGTAAGAAATATTAATATAAAATCCGGAATTCCAATAATTTTATATTCACTTAATGTTACAGTTTTAATAACCCGACAATTATGCGACTGTTCGTAGTTAAATCTGCAGTCAGAGTGTTCCTTGTTTCTCCTCTCGGTGGTGGTCTAGGTCATGGTCTCCTATTTGTTTATATTAGTTCGCCCGGCCAGCGCGGCGGCGAGATCGGGATATGCAAAAATCAGCATTTCTGACAATAAATTGGTTGATTGTGGTACAATAGATTGCATTTATCTCAATAACAGTTGATTTTCGGGTAAAATGAAATTCAATGAATCATAGAAACCGAATCTTAAAAAAAGAAAAAGACATGGCAATACCTGATTATAAAAAATCATATCCGATGCCCTGTTGCATCACAAAAATAAAACTCAATAAAGCTAGTGTTCATAGGAAAAAATCGTCTTACTGATCTATCAGTCACTGAATTTATGGCATCGTTTTTTAAAATACTCTTTATGATTTGATTATTAATTAGTTCGGTCATAGGGCCCTGCAAAGCCTCTATGGGAGTTCCGCGAAAATACTGGTCATAATGGAAAAAAATACTTAAGTTTTCCGCTACGAAGATTTTAAATAAAATATTTTCTAGGTTCCAATTATAACGGAAGTTGATATGTGTATATTTTTTATATAAATCAAACACCCTGCATATGACTGAAAACAGCAAAACATTTTTAGTTAAAAGTCGTGTTTGTGCCTAGAACACCTAATTTCGAAGTTGTTACATATTTCATATCAAACTATTGAAAATTCGTATAATAAAAACTTTACGAACATACGCATGCACTTGTGTTAAGTAAGACTGGAGCATATTCAGTTTTTAGAGAAAAACGGAAATTATATCTGGTTTTCGCGCAGTTCCAAGTAATATTTCTTGCTAGATAAAAACTGACAAATTTACGCATGTTTTTAAATCTCGCAGAATAGTGATAACTCTGTTAAACGGCAGGCGATGCTTATTGTTTTATACATTTCTAATCAGTTTCCATTAAACGTTTTAACGATCAGTATTAATACGGCATAATAAGGCATAACTAAAAACTTTAAGACAATGAAACCATTATTATCTCTACAAATCTCATCTGTTCTGTACTTTATGCTTATGTGTTGTTTACTAACTAGTGCAAAACGTGGTAAGTGCTAAAATATTTTTCTCATATTGACGAATTATTTTGTTTTTTGCGCTATAAAGTTAAAAAATATAGGCTTTTGTGCTTGAAGGTTGCTTACTATGTATCCAAAATTAAAAATTAAAAAATGAGTATTAAGTAGATCATATAGTGTCCTTTTTTTTAAATTTACCATATTTGTTACACATATGCAGTAACATAACTTATTTTTTTTCTCTATTTATTAAGTAAGTATGTCTGTATTCTCTTTTATTTTTTCCATATTCGAGTTAATAACTCTAACTTACAGTATTCTTACTATTATTATTATTATTATAATTAGTTCTTGTTGATACTCGATAACGCCGTTAGGGATTTCCAGATTATAGGAGGCTAAGAGTTCAAGATTATTAGTAAGATTTAATTCTACAAGTCTGTAAACACTAACTTAGTACGTAGAGAATTTTACCAATTGCAAAGCAAAGAGGTATCCGAAAATAACAAAAAAGTTAATAATATGACCATATGTTACCTATCATTGTAGAAACTAATATAACTGATACAGTAATTATCAAATTATATATAATAATAAAAAAATTAAAAATGATACATCTCGTCCAAATAATGCTAATTTAAAAAAAGAGTATACTGATTATAAAAATAAGTTAACAACTTAAGTGCGAACACAGGAAAGCATTTAACACAAAAAATACAACAGAAAAATGATGTTAAATATAGGAAAGTAACAATAGAGAAATCATTATCTTTGTCATATCATAAAGGATATTATATGTCAATTAAAAGACAATAAATCACCGGGGTTGGATCACATTAGAGCTGAAACCTATTGCCTTTTATTTATTGGAGCCACTTGTATTTATCTTTAACAAATGCATACATACAGGATTTTGGCTGTCAGCTTTCAAAGATTTCTTGATTATTCTTATAGGTATTATATTATATATTAGGTATATTATTATATTATATTATTATATATTATAGGTACCTCGCGCACTCGGCTGTTTTTGAGCATGTTTGGAAGAATTTTTCACCTATTTCGTTTTATCGGAAAATTAGAATATACGTTTTGTAGTATTATACTTCTACTTTTAAAATCTGACAGAAAAATCAAAATCAGACCACCTCTAACGCATCCAGAAACTTTGCAAAATGGTGCATGAAAAAATTCTAATTGCAATTGTGTCAAAACTAATGGTCCGACAGCGCCTGCTTTATGCACACATGCTTTATTATACTTAAAGTATATACAGGGTGACCCATTAAGAATGGAAACACTTGCGTACAAAAGTTGTTTATGGACCGATTTGAACCGGTTTTTTTTTAAAAGATAGATCTCCAAAAGCTCTATCTTGATGCAAAATTTGAAGACGAAATTTTGATTTTCAAGGGCCACTACGATTTTTTTTTAAGTGAAAAATAGCAAAATTTTGTTAGCGATTTTTTTATAAAAAATCTGACTCCACCACTGGATTTAGGAACCCCTCAAATGCATTTGTACCAATTTTTGCGAAAAAAAGTTTGCCCCTAAAAAAGTTATGACAATATCGGCATCACCACTGTTTGCCGTTGTCGGTGAACCTATCCTTTAAAAAAAAACGAATAGAACCCAAATGGAAACAAAATTAAATAACAAACACTGGTTTAATAATTATTAATAAGAACCATAAAAACCAGTATACCCAAAATAAACAACAAGTTCGTCAAATTATTATTATTTCCTGGATATTATGCCAAAACTTACAAATATTACCTTCTTAGACAAAAATAATTACATTTATAATTTTTTTATTCAAAAAGCCACTGGATTCTACAACCATAATCCAATTATTTGTGAAGAATTTTCTGAAAAAAATATTACGAGATATCCAGAAAATAACGTTACTTAAAAATAATATGAACAAAATTTGGTAGACTGTGAAATATAGAAGTTTAGACAACAAATGTCAAACTTCACAAGTAGTGGCACATTGTAATATTTTTTGTGCATTCCATAATTCTTTGTGATGGCTCAAAGTTTAACTTTACATGAGAAAATTGAAATAGTACGCCTTTCTGGAGAAAATGATCGGACGGCAAGAGAGGTGTGTATAATTTTTAACAACAGACATCCAGATAGACCTAATATTATGCATAGCACCGTTTTTAAAATAAACAATACTTTTATGGAATATGGTGCTGTATCAAAATGCATTTTAAAAAGGGGCAATCAACAGAGAAGACGTATTCATGAGCAGGAAATTTTAAATTATTTTACAAACAATCCTCAGAATAGCCTCAGGATTGCTAGTTTAGATTTAAATTTACCTAGAAGAAGTATCCGACGCGGCTTAAAAAAAAATAACATAAAACCCTATAAACCTAAGTTTCTTCACACTCTGGAACCAGGTGATAATGAAAAACGAATGGAGTTTTGTCTCTGGACACAGGGACAATATCTCAATTACCGACTTTTTTTTAAAATATCTTATTCAGCGATGAGGCCACATTCACGACGAATGGAATTGTATCATCACAGAACTCGCGGTGTTGAGTTTCAGAAAATCCAGAGTGGATAATTAATTGCCGAAGACAATATAGTCAGAAAGTTAACGTTTGGTGTGGGATACTTAACGAGAGAGTCATTGGTCCATTCTTCTTTGAAGGGAATATGAATGGTGAACAATTTCTACATTTCCTTCAGAACGAATTTTTTAATGCAGTCGATAATCTTCCATTAGAAGAAAGAGTAAATCTACATTTTTAGTTGGATGGTTGTCCAATACACAATGCGAGACATGTCAGGGAGTGGCTTAACGAGAATTTCCCCAACCATTGAATAGGTCGAAACAGTCCATTAATTCATTAACCACCCCAATCTCCGGACCTTACCCCACTTGATTTTTTTTTTGTGGGGCTTTATTAAATCCGAAGTTTATAAGACACGGTCAAATAACCGGGAGGTATTGTATACTGGAATAAGGGAAGCGTAAATGTAAAAAATATAAAAAAACGTTATGAAAAATGTATAGAATTAAATGGAGGATTAGTGGAAGCTACAAAAATTTAAATTTAATAACGTGATTAGTGTAAATCAATTTGATAGACTCCTTTTTCATTTTTAAAAATGAAAAAATTTTTTAATTATTTTTTTATCAATTGTTGCTTATATTAGAGTAATTGTTGTTTATTTTATGTATACTGGTTTTTATGGTTCTTATTAATAATTATTAAACCAGTGTTTGTTATTTAATTTTGTTTCCCATTGGGTTCTATTCGGTTTTTATAAAAGAATAGGTTCACCGACAACGGCAAACACTGGTGATGCCGATATTGTTATAACTTTTTTAGGGGCAAATTTTTTTTCGCAAAAATTGGTACAAATGCATTTGAGGGGTTCCTAAATCCAGTGGTGTAGTCAGATTTTTTATTAAAAAATCGCTAACAAAATTTTGCTATTTTTCACTTAAAAAAAAAATTCATAGTAGCCCTTGAAAATCAAAATTTCGCCTTCAAATTTTGCATCAAGATAGAGCTTTTGGAGATCTATATTTAAAAAAAAAACAGTTCAAATCGGTCCATAAACAACTTTTGTACGCGAGTGTTTCCATTCTTAATTGATCACCCTGTATAATTCACTACTTTTGTGCACACGGTCAGCCCTGAAAATGGCGGAGTAATGAATTTAAAAAAACGCAAAATTTTCCGATTTTCGGGTTTTCTTCGTTTCTAATTATTCGACCTCGAGTTCTATTCGTATTTCGATTCTCTACAAATTATCTCTTTATACCATTCAGATTGCTTCGTTAGTTTAGGTTTTATAAGCAAAAAACTAAAAAAAGCTTTTTTGTATAAACATTGCAGTAGGAAACATATATGCATATATCTACAGACTGTCTTTTATATGATGACACAGTCCGTTTGCTACTAGTATTTTTGCCACAAAATCACTGATTTAATGCTCTATTGATTGGCCTAAAAATTCCACTTATCCCAGTGATCAATTGTATAGTGAATCAAAATTGCCATCAGACAGCTATTCTATTATAAATGCGTTTTAAAATTCCATTTGGCTGGTAAACAATATAGTGATATTAAATACTTTTATAATACTCGAGGGAAGAAATTATACAAATCGCCCATTATGGCAAAAAATATCGCTCAAAGATCATATGCCTATTTGGCTGCAAAATTATATAACAGGTTACCTTATATCTCTAAAATTACTAATTCATCAATTTATTCTTTAAAAAGGAAACTAAAACCTTCGTCCCTTCATAATATATAAAGAAATGATTCAATTTCTAAAACAAATGAATAGGGATGATTGTTTTCGAATGTACGATTATTACAATTTATCATTTTTAATATTATTACCGTTTTCACGTCTTATAATTTATTATATTATAATACAGTTTTAGTATTATGTTCAATTTATTATTCAATATGCAGTTGCGCATAACCAAAGTTTACATAATAAATGTAAACTTTAGTGTAAATGTAAACTTTGGTGTAACCTAGGTAGGTACTTATTGTTTTTGGAAAGTAATATGTTTTTACCTGTTTATAATGCCAGCTCGAGTAGAACAGCATTCATCCGTCCGGAACACTTTGTTAATAAAGTTAGGTTCTGCTGCACTTCGATTTTGGAACCAATTGTAAAATTCAAGACGATTGGGGAAATCAGCTGGTTCTAAAGCTTGAACTTTTTGAAAATAGTACGAGTTGAGTGAATTCTCGCGCAATATCCGCCAAACTTTGGTTTGTGATATCTCCAGTCGCCTTGAAATTGTTCTTGTGGAAATAGGCTGCTCCTCGACTAAATTTAAAACAGCCTCTATCACATTTAAGTCACTTTGTCGATATCCTGGACGTTCTTTGCGCGGTATGATAGACCCCGTGTCACGTAAACGTTAGACGACTTGCACAATTGTCCGCGGGTTTGGGAAGTTTTCTCTGTTAGGGAAACGTTTCCGATATTCAATTGCAGCGGCATTTGCGTTCTGTACACACTCTCCGTATAAAATTACCATATCTACATATTCGGCATTCGTATGCAAAGCCATCACAACCGACACTTTAAACAATCCGAAATAAACTAACGGTTTCGTGTGTCTTTCATCTGTATGGTGTGATCTTCACTCCTTTGCAGAAAAAATGCAGGAGATATGGGAGGATAGTAGGTTTGAATAAACGCTTTAAATTAATTGTTAATGGTTTTGTAACCGTGTGTAGTGTATTTCGTATATTCGGGTATTTAGTGTTCGTATATTCGGGTATTTAGTGTGCCGACTTTTTTTATTTGATAAAATACGATGTGCTTACAAACCTCTGCTTTATTTATTTTCTTTTAACGAAAGTTGACTTCAGGCTTGTTAAAACATTTTGCACTAAGTTAATACAATTGTTAAAATTATTTATAATAAAATGCAGCATACTCCTTATTTACTTGCTTTTAATTGCTATCGTAAATATGTATACGTATATTAAAGCGGATTAAATGGATATGTTTAACGTGGAACCCAAAGTAAATGTGAACCACAGATTATGATGTGAACTTGACAACGTTGTTCGCTTCAGCTGATGGCTGGTTCGTGACATTACGTTACAAAATTTTCCGAGCATCCGGGGATCTGGCCGGACCGCCCTCTTAGAGGGAGTTATGGATTGATTTCCTTCATATTTAAAAGTCGAGTAAAAATTTGTTTTTTTCGATTTTCTGTCTTTATTAGGCTTTCCGAATACGTGGTTAAAATTAATGACATTATGACTGAATCACCCTGTATATGAACTAATGGGGACGATGGGAATAGACAAAGACAACGCACGACAACCATAGAATCGGGAGGGGTCACTCAGTAATGAAGACAATTACTTCGATTTAGGTACAAGTGTACCAAATACAAAATTATCAAAATATTCAATATTGATTAAAAATATACCTCAATCATTTCACTCACTAGATTCACTCCGAATCTTTATTGCTTTCACCCTCACCGACTTTTTCATTGTAAATCGCCTAAGTTGATCAAATACATAAGATCAGAGACCCTAAAATTAATTTCTGAAGTACTTCCTTGTCACATTTTATAAATATGTCCTTATTTTTCCTTGTTTCATAGTCATTTTAGTTACGGCATCACTTTATGGGGCAACTCCAGTTGTGCTCATAAACTATTTATCCTACAGAAGTACTTCCTATAGTAGAGACTACTTCAGGAAGTACAAGGTATTACCTCTACTATGCCTATACTTACGCTTTATTTAGTACATACAAAATTACCGAACTTGCCAACACATTCTAGAATATATAGAATTCTAGAGTATAGCACTATGCATGGTGGGGACCTTATAGTTCCTATCTCGCGGATAAATAACAAACTGGAGATAGGATTGTATAACAAATTTGCAAATTTTCTTGTGCACGAGAATGTTAAACTCTGTCTATTAAATTTTTTTTCACTTTTACTAAAAAAATTGTTGGTGACAAATTGTTATTTCAGTACTGATATTGTATGTATAAAAGTATTATGTATTATTATAATTATTATTGTTGTAATTATTATTATCATCATCATCATCATCATCATCATCATCATCATCATCATCATCATCTTCATCATCATCATCATCATCATCATCATCATCATCATCGTCATCTTCGTCATCATCGTCATCATCGTCATCATCGTCATCATCGTCATCTTCGTCATCATCGTCATCATCGTCATCATCGTCATCATCGTCGTCGTCGTCATCGTCGTCATCGTCGTCGTCATCGTCGTTCGTCCTCGTCATCGTCATCGTCATCGTCATCGTCATCGTCATCGTCATCGTCCTCGTCGTCGTCCTCGTCGTCGTCCTCGTCGTCGTCCTCGTCGTCGTCGTCGTCGTCGTCGTCGTCGTCGTCATCGTCGTCGTCGTCGTCATCGTCCTCGTCATCGTCCTCGTCATCGTCATCGTCATTATTATTATTATTATTATTTTATATATAAATGACTTGCCTTACTCTGTGGGGGGCACCTCCTGTTTTATATTTGCAGATGACACTACGCTATAATAATTTCAAAAGGTAACGACTTAAGTTTAGGCAGTCTTCAACTTGCTAAGAATTGGTTTTGTTCAAATAGACCAGGAAAGGAAACATTTTGAAATTTATTAATTACTGGGCGTGATTTTATTGTTGGAAAGTCTTGGGAATGAAAATACAAAAGGTGTCTCATCAAATGGGTCATGAAAAAAGGTTTTTTCTGTAATTGTTAATAACTTTTTAAATAATTAATTAAATCTTACCAAACTTTTCCAAAATATGAGTTTTTATATCCTTAAGAGATGTGCAAAAGATGGGCTCGATCGGTCAAATAGTTGTTGCAAAATTCCATTTATTTATCCCATTTTTGCAAAAAGGCCCATTTTCAAATGACTATTCCGGGGGCAGGGTTATGACTAAAACTATCTTTTTGAGCTCATTTTCTTCGAAGAGACACCAAGTATCCTCTAGTTAAAAAAAAAATATTTTTTTTTTCAAATTTAGTTGTTATAGGTAATTGTTACCAAATAGAAGGCACTTTTTTCCCTAATAAACAAATAGAATAACTCGGTTTTTAACTTTTGAAAGAAGTTATATATCATTCGAAAGCTCGTAAAAAACCTACAAATTGAAAAAAAAAACAAGTTTCTACGACCAATTTTTTTTTTAATCACGGCAATTTGTTATAAACATTAAGACCTGCAATTTTAACATTTTGTAAATGAAGGTTTAAACTTTATGCCCTGTTAAATTTAATTGAATGTGCCCATAATTGATCAATCCAGAGCCCGTCAAAGTAAAGGTACGCGGCAGTAGCCCCTCAGGGGGTGGTGGTGGGGGAATCTTCCTCTCAACCAGGAAAAAAAACTGACAATGTGAAATTTGTAATACTCAACTTTTATGTAACGCAGAACTTTCTTTTTTTAATTTGGGTAGCTCGACGAAAAAATTACTTCTGGATTATTTCTACCCTTGTATAACCACCCCCTACCCCCCCTAAAAATGAATATTGTGAAAAAAAAATTCTATTTGCATTTTTTCTTATTTGAAATGTTTTAGACAATTTGTAGTTCTCAATAAAAAAATTTTATCAAAATTATTTTAACCCTTCAAAATTAATTTAACCCCCTCAACCCCCCCAAATTGAAGTTGAAATTTATAATAAATTGCAAAAAAATTCTACTGTCAGTATCTAAGGAAATATTTTATATATTTTTATACTAATTATAAACAAATATATTAATAATAATTTTACAAAATAATTAATCCTTTAATCAATATACAAAATCCATAATTATATAACAAGTGTGAAAAAATAAAAATAATAAAAATATTTATTTTTTTGGAGGTTGAGGGGGTTAAATTAATTTTGAAGGGTTAAAATAATTTTGAAAATAATTTTTTATTGAGAACTATTGCCTAAAACATTTCAAAGAAGAAAAAATGCAAAAAGAACATTTTTTTCAAAATATTCATTTTTAGGGGGTGATTTTTTTACAAGGGTGAAAATAATCCAGAAGTAATTTTTTCGCCGAGCTACCCAAATTATATAAAAGAAGGTTTTACATTGCATAGAAGCCGAGATATTACAAATTTGACATTGTCAGTTTTTTCCATAGACATGTTTTTTTCCTGGTTGAGAGGAAGATCCCCCCACCTCCACTCCCTGAAGGGCTACTGCCGCATACCCTTATTTTGACGGGCTCTGGATTGATCAATTATGGGTAAATTCAATTAAAATTAGTAGGGCATAAAGTTTAAACCTTCATTTACAAAATGTTAAAATTTCAGGTCTTAATGTTTATAACACATTGCTCTGTGATTTCATAGATGAATCACTATATCAAAATTAGTATAGGTACTTTATAATGGAAATTATGACCGTATATTTTTTAGAGGGAAGAAACTGCAAGTTATCTGGGACAATAGGGATTTGCGAACGGGTGAAAAATTGTCCTGCAGCTGTTGAATCCATGAAAAAGACTTTTACTCCGGGATTGAAAAGGTGTGGATTTGTCGATCAGGAAGAACTAGTTTGTTGTCCGTATATGAAGTCGTCTCAAAATAATGAAATAATTCATGGTTTAACGCCAATAAAAAATTCAAAGGAATGTAAGTAGTAAGAGATAAGAAGTAAGATAAGGATATATCTAAAGTAAATCATCAAATATCAAATCAAATTCATGTTTTGAAAATATAGAATTCTGCTTAATTCATATTTAGCGCTACGTACTATTTCGCTTTTTAAATCACACTTAACTGAATAAAAATCTCTATGATTGGCTGTTCAAATCTTTATGGCTAATTTATCTATTTTTAAATATGCCTACCTCCAAGGTATGGACCTAACATTGTGTTCACTGATTGGAAGAAGAAGAACGTCTCTAACCGTCAATGTTTGACATCTGGCTTATAACGTTTGCATTGCGAAACTTCTATTACAATTTGTTTAAATAATAACAATATACAGGGTCACCTAACGAATGTTACCTACATACTTCAAGGATATAACCTAGAACCCAAATGGTGTAGTCCCCAAGCCAGCGACCTTTTTTCGAACTGATTACAAAAGTCATGAAAACGGTCTGGATCGCTTCGTTTTAACGAGTCTACCACGCTGTAAAATTTTTAGAATATGGGAAGGGCGCTTTTCCGCACTGCGAGTACTTAAACCTGTCGTTCTGGGCGGGTTCTCTTTTGTGATTACAACACTGAAATTTTTTATTTGAATTAAAAGAAAATGTGTTAAGTAAGAAGCAAATTGGGTTGTCCGACAAAATAGAGGGCGCAATTGTCGAGTCCGACATCTCCAACATGTCGCTCTAGCGCGGTATGGTTTTCCGATTACAAAACACCCAATTTTCATTTTAACTTACTAAAAATTGCCTGAAAAACGTAGTCCATACCTTGTCCGACAAATTTTTAGGTGCTTTTTTCCAGTCCGACAACCGAAACATGTCGCTCATCCCAGTTTAGGTTTTCCGATTACAAAATTTCGGACACAAATACCAAGTGCTAAAATAGTACTTTCTTTATCAAAATATGACATTGTCCGACAAAAATAGTGGATCATATTGCTAGTCCGACAAAAAGAAACGATTCATTTTATTACATATTAAACATTATATATCTTATCTTATATTATATGCATCTTATGACAAATATTCAATTTTAAGTTTGTAATTCAGAAAATAGTATATTTTAGTATCATATTAAATAAAACTACAAAATAATTTAAATATATTTATTGCCCTCTAAATAACATTAATTTATTTAATATTTGCCTGTTCGTAGATTTTACCGAATTAAATAATTTGACTTCATGATTTATTCGTACATCGATATACTTTTGACATTCAGCCCTTACAAGTTCTATTAAATGATTACAACTATTAGGCAAATTATCAAATGGATGTTCATGCAAATTTTCAAATATGTTCACATTCAGAATGTTTTTTAATACATGATAAACAATTTCATTTTTCTGTAGCCTAGGTGTTCATTAAAAAATTTTATTAATTTTTCTGTCTCTTGGCATATTACTACGACATCTCGAGATGGATACGTCAAACAACCACGATCTTTAATAAAAATTGACTGTACGAATACTGTGTATTTGACATAAACATAAACTATTTACACAGTCTTCACATTTTATTGGCTTTATTAGAGAACTTGTTACGAAACCGCCAATATATACTATAATGTACTTGCTAGTTTCCAGTCCTGTTTTTTAATAGTCTTCACCCATCTTCGTTTTATGTCAACATTCCATGGAAATCTGTAAAAATTCTATAAATATTATACTCGAAAATTTTAGGCCGAAATTATAGATAGTGATTCATCGCTAGCTCTTGGACTAGTAAGGAGGATGAGGCGTGCGGGGATCGAAAATCCATAGGCGTGTATAAAAGGCAACAAGATGTAGAAAATATGGAAAAATATAACAAAACATAACATCTATTATTTTTAGAGGTTTTATCGAGAAAACTTCAAAAATATTTTAGTAACATTTTGTTTTAAAATTTTAAGTGTTTTCTATAAAACGATGCCCTCTTGGGCATCGATAACCCACCACCACCCGGCTTACGCCGCCGCATAATATTGTAATGTTGTTACGGGCTTATTTTTTTTCTTACTATTTTATTTAAATTTATATTAGTCCTTATTAAAAATAGCAAGGTATTTAGGTAAATTAGGGTATTTAAGTATTTTCTATTTTAAACAAATATTATAGTATGGTTTAATTTGTATTTTTCCCAAAATATTTCAATTTGTTCATTAAATTATCGTCGGTAGGTAAATATAAAGTTCCCTGTCGATATACGCCCGAACGGACTTTTTCTTTCCTTTTTTCTTGGTCTCAGGCATTTCTTACTTCCTCCTGGGCTCTTGGTCGCGAGAGAATTGTCGACTTAGCAGCGTGTGTTCTCGTTACAATAAATATCGCTTTTGCGGATCTTGCTGCATTTTGTGGGCAAAAATTTGTTTTGTTAGTTCTGGTGAATCCAGTGTCAACCGTTGTTGGTTGGATTTGTGCCCATAAAACCCGACATAAGGTACCACTCACCACGAGGCCGCCCTACAACAAAGGTAAAACTTTAAATAATCTTCACTAATTTTCTATATCTCTACCTCACTGGGAAACCTACTTAGACATGCTTCTCTCTTTTTTTTTGGCCTCGTAATCGTCCTCGTACTCGCACTCATCCTTGTTTTAATTTCATCTCATTATATTCGCACTCTCACCCTCAACGTCACCGTCTTCGTCGCTGTTAGTGTGCTGGGTGTTTTCCTACTTCATCCTCATATACCGGGTGATTCATTGCCAGTGGAAGTCCAAGGTATCATAACCCCGGACCTTGGTTAAACAACGCAGGCTTACTCCTCGCTTTGGTTGGATTATTATCTGCACTGGAGAGCAGTATCCCTATCCAAGACTCGCCTGACATAACTCCCAGTTGCTGCCTGGCTTCGTGTCCTTTTGTGGATGCTCCTGTATGGTTGGAGTAGTAAATATTCCCCTGCATAATCGTTGGAACCAGTCACTGGTGCTGCAGAAACCGCTCAGATAAGCTTAATTTTAAGTTATGCATGTTACATAGTTAATCCTTATCTGATTTAGCCTGATCTCATATAGTATATATTTTATTCTATCTTTTATTTGGAAATTTAGCTTAGGTGGTAGCAATTATCACCGCCTATTTTACTTATTCTATTCCGCTACCAGATAATTACTTTACTCACCTTAGTAGACATTACTACTTAGTTTTTTCCCCTTGTTATTTAGTTTGGCGTACTGTTAGGTAACTTATTAGTTAATTGTTTTAATAAGGTACATAAATTATTTACTTACAATTCTTGCTGACCTTTTCCCTGTTCTTTTGTTATAGTTTATAAATTTATATTACTTCGATATAGGTAACGGCAATAATTAATAAACTTTAGGTTCGCTTACAAAACTTTTGATAGTATTCATACTTTGTTTATGCTAAGCTCAATTGCCCTTGTTACTAGTTAAATGGCCTTTATTCGCTTACGCTTTACTTAATATTGTTTCCCAACAATCTAAAGAATATTAAAAACATATTTAATCGATTAGGCACTTAATTTGAGTTATAAGATATAAGTTTTATGTAATTTATTTCTTCGAAAGTCTGTACACCGAACCAATAGCGCTATCGGAGAGGGTTATCACTATCCTTATTATTTAAACCTATAGTTAAAACTATTTTGCCAAACATACCTAAGAGGTGCATAATCGGCCAATATTTACAACTAAATTGATTTAGCGATTGTAGCCTTTAGGCACCGGCCATTTAGATAAATTAAAGTTACCGTTTGTATAGTTACTTTCTTAGGGCTTTTATTTGTACCTTTTTCCCGTTTTTTTTTTTTACTGTAAGGTTCCGGCGTCTCTCCAGCCTTCTTGCGTATTGTCCATCGGGTTGTAAAACGGGTGGCGCCTTAAGAGAATTATTTTCAGTTATATCAACCCCACCCCCATTGCTGAGCTGAGCTAGGGCCAACCCTATAGTTGGAGAGAGCCTTATTGTCCTTGGAAAGGAAAATCTATTAAAATTTTATTTTACCACCCACAAGCGGGTAGCAAAGTGGCGCCCAACCGTGTTATTTTTTTTTAATTAAAATCTATAGTTCAAATTGAAACTTTTTGTGACAGTAATTGTAAATTTGTTCGAACCGTGAGTAACAGTCATAAAATCTTATCATTTACTTCTTGGAAAATAGTAATTTTGACTTTGACAGGGACAAGGTATTGGCATATACAGGGTGTATATAACTTAAAACATTTTGGTTCCAAATATTGTCGCAGAGGCAATTTTATGTACCTTACTTTACGTTTTTCACATTTTATGATTTTAGCAATTTAGATTTTTGGATATTATTGAAGATTTTGATAGTATTTAAATGTATAATTTTTTTTTAGATGTTGTCATTATTTCGGCACAATCGAGTAATAATATGATAGTTAATAATTTTAGACGTTAGTTAGGTAGTCAGAAGATATTATTACATAGGTAATTTAAAAATTTTTTTCTCCTTCTAGTTGTTATATACAGGGGTAGTCATAAATTGGGAAGGATTTTGCAATAATTAGATGAATTTTTTATTTATTTTTTCTGATTGATTTATGATAGAACGTATTTGGCAATTAAATAGGAAAACTTACTACAAGGTGTGTTCAATAAATTTTTACATCTAAGTTTAGTAAGTACATAAATACAATTTAGCACATTGTTGCTGGAGTGCTTTTAGGTACTACTGTTCTACGACTTGTACTTTTAAGTTTGAGACGTTTGACTCCTTTTTTTTCCTGTTTTTTTTTTTTTAGTGCAGGTCGGGTTTTCATATCACGTAGATAATTTTTTTTGTTCTTGCTTTTCGTCTTTACAAGTAACAATGGAAGTTAACAGATTATTATCTGATGAATTGACGTACGAAATATTAGTTCGGGGTTACCCGGCGGGTACGACGGTTGAAGAAAAAAGAGCGACTTTGAGAAAAATTTTGCGAATGGAACGGGAAGGCACTCATTCCGCCCCAACATCAATACCATTAGATCCGAATGATGAGTTATCGATTTGTTATTC